AACTCCGGCGAGGAAGTGGGAAAAAGAAAAAACCAAACCGGCGCGCGCTCATAGGAGGTCAACTGAGGTCTACACCGTTAAGTCCATCATGCCGGCCGCGCTGGCCGGGCCCATTCCCGGGCCCTCTCCCGGGCCCTCACCCGGGCCCTCGCCAAAACGTCACGCCGCCGGCCTCGACCCCTCGCCCTCGCCAAAGCGTGTCGCCGCCGCGCCTTCCGTCCCGTACCACGAGAAGCAGGTCAAGCGGTGGTGCGGGCTGCACTGCCTCAATGCACTGGAGCAGCGTGCGGCGTTCACCCGTCGGCAGCTCAAGGGCTTTGCCGATCAGCTTTTCATCGCGTGCGCGGCGATCGATGACGACACCGCCAGTGAAGGCATCCGCGGCCGCGCAGGGACCGTGCGCGCGCCCGCTTCGCACGCCTTTGGCTCCGCGAGCGACGGCGACGTGGACGTGCAGGTGCTGATCGTCGCGCTGCAGTCGCTCGACCGCACGGTCGCGCAGCTTGCGGCAGAGCCGCCCCCGTCGCCGGAGGAGACTGCCGACGTGCGCGGGCTGCTCCTGCACGAGGACCGCGGTGGCGACGTGGGCGAGCACTGGTGGGCGCTCCGCCGGCTCGGTGACGACTGGTACGACCTCGACTCGCTCCTCGACGGCGGCGAGGTGGTGGCCCGCGGCGCCGACGCCTTCCGCGCACTGCTCGAGACACACCTCTCCTCGCTCTCGCCCTCTGGAGAGCGGAGGTCCGTCTACCTCGTCCACGGCCTCGTCGCCCTGCCGCCGCCGCCGCCGCCGCCGCCGCCGCCGCCCGAGGCTGCCGCCGGGGGCAGGTCGAGCCCGAGCCCGAGGAGCCCCGCGAGGAAGGAGGTCGGGCCGCCCGAGGCCTAAGCCCGGGGTGGCAGCCGTTGCCCAGCGCAGAGAGGGAGAGTCGGAGAGAGGCGTCGTGAGCCGTGTGGCCCGCAGCACTTGGAGCACTTGGAGTGCAGTCGTAAGCGACCGCAAATTAAGGTCCGACACGCGACAGGTTGCGCCAGGTTGTGCGGCGGCACCGAGCACCGCCTCTCTTCTTGCATTTTTGCTCCCGGCTGAGGGAGCAAGCAAGCCCACTCAACCCCAAGTACTCACCGTTTTACAGTGGTGTTTTTGTCGCATCGGCTGCAGCCTCTGCTGGGGCGGAATGCGCGGGGTTTTCGGCGCGATGCCCTCGGCGAGTACACGCTACAGCACCGCCGCAAGCTCTCCTGCGCGCGCGTGACGTGTGGGACGCGTGCGCTGCGCTCAAGCGTCGCGATTTGGCGATAGGCGCTCGAGCCGGCGCACAGCGGATAGGTACGCCGCGCAGGGGGTGTCGGAGGGGTGCGACAGGGGGCGTGGGTCGGGCGCGCACCGGCTGGCTCCGGGAGCGGCCGTCACGTCGAGGAGTGGGGCTGTCGGCAGCTCGAGCGCCGAGGCGAGCCGCTCTGCTGCGCCGCCGACAGCCCCTCTTCCGAGCCGGCGCGTGGAGGCGAGCCGCGGCCGGTGTCGCTGGTGCGGTGGCGGCGCAGCGTTTATCCCCCCCCCCCGCCCCGCCCGGCCGCCCGCCCGCCCTCAGGCCTTGCCCCTCCGCAGGCGCGCCGCCCGCCCGCCCTCAGGCCTTGCCCCTCCGCAGGCGCGGGAGCGCTCGCCGGCCGTCGCAAGCACCTCCTACCTCTCGTCGCCCGGCTGCCTCACCGCGCACGGAGCGTTCGGCTGCTCGCCGCCGCCGCCGCGCGTCCCGCGCCGCCACGCTTGCCCCCTCTCCTGACGCGCACCCCGCGCAGACGGCGCTCCGGGACAGACGGAGCAGCGACCGCGCCAGCGGTCGCTGCTCCGCCCCTCCGTCGCGCGCGCCGCGCGCGCGCTGCGCCGCTGCCGCCGCGCCCCCCTTCGCCGTCTTTTTCCCGCCGTATATGGTGTGCGGTGCGCGCACGGCACGCGCAGCGCACACGGCAGCTCGTGCTCTCGAGCACGGCAGCCTCCCCACCCCCCTACCAACCCCGTCGCGCCGCCGCCGCCGCCCCCGCCACCGCCGCCGCCCCCGTTGTAGCGTTTGGGAGTGCGACTGGCGACGGCAAAAATGCAAGCCCCGCCCCTGGCCACTGTGTAAATAATGCGCCTGCGGGCCGACCCCCACAGATAGAGCACTGGAG